TCTGTTTATGTATTAGGAAAGGCTGCAGTGAAAGTCTCCTTTGAATGTGACAAAATTGTAATATCCAAGAACGAGGCTTTTGTTGGGAAGGGGTATTGTTCTGGAGAGTTATTTAAACTCATTGTACTTAATGTTATTATGAATGAAAATGCATCTTCTTCTGCTTAGGTTATTGATTCAATAGATTTATGGCATGGTAGATTAGGTCATGTAAATTATGGTTATCTAAAAAAGATGAAAGAAGTTGGTTTATTATCAAATGTCAATATTTCAAATATTGATAAATATGATATGTGTGTGTGGAATTCAAATCCACTAAAAAGACTTGTAAACCAGTTCTAGAACGAGAAAATGAGCTTCTGGGTTTAATTAAAAGGTTAAGAACAGTTAGAGGAGGTGAATTTGAGTCAAATGACCTTGATTCTTTTTGTAGAGATCATGGTATTATACATGAGACAACACCTCCTTATTCTCCACAGTCTAATAGAGTTGTTGAGAGGAAAAACAGAACTTAAAAAAAATGGTGAATGTTATGTTGATTAGTCCTGGAGTAGTGATGGCAAGGGTTGGGCTGGGACTAGGTACCCCTTGGCCCAGGCCTAAGCCCGACCTCATGACAAAGGCCCAAACTCGTCATTGGCATGATAGGTAAAGCCCAAGCCCGGCCTGACAGACTTTTTGTAACCTTAGGCCCGACCTAAGCCTGCCCATTTTTATAATGTGAATTTTTAAATATTAATAAATTTCAACTTTTTTATATTTTTTAATTCTAAAAATAGTTTTTAATATTAATTTATTTTTTAATACTCATCAAATGGGATGAGATTAGGGTTTGGGAAAAATGGGTATATATAGGTAGGATAATCTTGTAATTAAATAAATAGTATGAAGATAATTTTGTAAAATTAATACTAAAATTGTCGGGCCAGGCCGGGCTTGAAGACATGCCCAAGTCTGGCCCGTACCCGAGGTCGAGCCTTAAAATCAGGACCAAGCCCAAGTCCAAGCCCACGAACACCGGGTAAAGCCCGGCATTTTCAGGCCGGGCTGGGTCGGGTACCCAAAAATATCGGGCCCATTGCCAACTTTATTCTGGAGCACCTTTTAATTTGTGGGTGGAAGCAATACTTTCAGCTTGTTACATACAAAACATAATTCCTTTTAAGAAAACAGGCAAAACACTATATGAACTCTGGAAAGGTCATGTACCTAACCTAAAATATTTTAAAGTGTGGGGGTGTTTTGCTAAAGTCCTAATCCTGAACCTAAAAGGAAAAGGTTAGGACCTAGGACTATTGATTGTATGTTTATGGGTTATACTCAGAACAGTGTTGCTTATAGATTCATGGTAATAAAGCAAGAGGTTGGTTTGTATGATGCAAACACAATCATTGAATCTAAAAACGCGGATTTCTTTGAGAATGTTTTTCCTAAGAAAATCAATTGTGAAAAGGCTTTACCTCAAAATAAAACCCTTCGGAATTCTTCTGAAAGTTCAGAGTTAGAAATAAGGAGAAGTAAGGAAGTAAGAAAAGCCAAAAGTTTTGGTGATGATTACTATATCTTTCTTACAGAGAATGATCCTCGGACTTATAAAGAAGCAATGACTTCTCGTGTTGCATCCTTTTGGAAAGAGATAGTAAATAATGAAATTGAGTCCATTATGAGTAATCATACATGGGAAGTAGTTAATTTGCCTCTAGGAACTAAACCAATAGGGTGCAAATGGATATTTAAAAAGAAATTAAAGACTGATGGATCAATTGATAAATACAAGGCAAGATTGGTTGCCAAAGGTTATACACAAAAGAAAGGTATAGATTATTTTGACACTTATGCTCCTGTAATAAGAATAGCATCAATTAGAGTGTTAATTGCTTTAGTTGCAATTTACAAATTACATATACATCAAATGGATGTAAAGACAACTTTTCTTAATGGAGACCTGGATGAAGAAATTTATATGAAACAATAAGAGAGTTATGTTATCCTAGGTAATGAGCATAAAGTGTGCAAATTAGTAAAGTCTCTTTATGGACTTAAACATGCACCAAAACAATGACATGAGAAGTTTGGCCAAGTATTAGTCTCAAATGGTTATACAATTAATGGTTCAGATAAATGTGTATATTCTAAATCATTTGAAGACAATAGTTATGTGATAATATGTCTCTATGTTGATGACATGTTAATATTTAATGCTAATATAGATGTGATAATTAAGACTAAAGAGTTTCTTGTCTCAAATTTTGATATGAAAGATATGTGAGAGGTAAATGTTATTCTTGGGATTAAAATCATTAAGATAAATGATGGTCTTAAGTTATCACAACAACACTATGTTGAAAATTTCTTAAGGAAATTTGGGTATTCATTCAGTAAATCCGTCTTAACTCCTTATGATGGAAATACTCAACTTAAGAAAAATACACAATATAGTGTGAGTAAAAAAAGATATTCCCAAATCATTGGTAGCCTTATGTACTTAATGAATAGTACGAGGCCTAATACTACTTATGCTATCACTAGATTGAGTAGGTATACTCATAATCCTGAAAAGAATCACTGGATAACATTAGACAGAGTTGCTAGATATTTGAAGGGCATCATTGATTGTGGGCTAACGTTTGGAAGTACACCACCTGTATTAGAAGGATATTCCAATGCCAATTGGATATCAAATTCAGATGAAATAAAATTTACAAGTGGTTATATCTTTACATTTGATGGAGGTAGTGTGTCATGGAAGTCTTCCAAACAAACTTGCATAGCTCGGTCTACCATGGAGTCTGAGCTTATCGCCTTAAAAAAGGCATGTTTTGAGGCTGAGTTGTTAAGGAATCTCTTAGCAGATCTTCCCATTGAAACTCATCCTCTTGTTTTAGTATCAATCCATTGTGATTGTCAGGCTACAATAGCAAGAGCAAAGAGTAAAATTTATAATGGGAAAAACAGACATATCCGGATAAGACATAACATTATAAAGCAGTTGCTAGAATCTGGGGTAATAATCCTAGATTTTGTGAAGTTAGAGTTAGATTTGGCCGATCCTCTGACTAAACCACTAAGTTGGAGGTTAGTGGAATACAAGTCGGATGGGACTTATGCCTAAAGCATAAGGCAATAGTGACAGTAACCTTACCTATGTGATTGGAGATCAAGAAGTAGGTTCATAAGGGTAATAACAAGTCACTTGTTGTCTTGATAAGTATGATTGAATTTTATATAGAAAGTCCTCCCTATGGCGAGATAATATTGATTGCAGTGAATAAGGTTGAGTAGAATTAATCTTAATGAAATCCATAGCCAATATAAATGGTGGTGTGAAAAACTGCAATTCACACCTTATAGAGGTTTACCTATGTGAATGTGAAATTGGGTCGATTCCTATGAGAGCTTAGGTAGATATCTCTAGAGCACTCATGAAATCTAGGCTAGCATAGGGTCATAAAGTGCTAAACCGCAGAATAGTATACAATGTAGATAATTTAGTATGAGGAACTAATCCTCTGAATTACATAAAAAAAATTTTGGTTCATAGAACTTAGTTTCACCAAATTTTCGTAACTCACATTTAGTTACTCAATGATTGGTTCATAGTCTGAAAGACACCAACTCATAAATCTTAAATTCTATAGTAAGTGGTGATTGGTTATTTTGAAATATGCGGGAGATTGTGATAATAATTGCTGTTATGGTATTTCAAAATACCAAGTTTTAATTGCTTTTGGACTGTTATATAGTAAAAGCAATTGAATTGCTATAGTTATTGCAATACAAATCATTCTTGGGTTATTATGGTTTTAAAAACAATTGAATGACTTCGGTTACAAGAATAAGTTAAGGGAAAACGGGCAGATTTTAAAGTATAAAAAGGAGTGGTTTTCTCATTTGTAAGACATAATTTTCACTTCAAAAAATCCTTGTTTCCTTTATGTTTTTTTTTTAACTTTCTAGCTCTCCTTAACCATTGTTACATTTCCTTAAACTGTTCTAAATCTCTCTAAGATTGTGCACTCTAATAGGAGATTCGTCATTATATCATAGAGGTCAGTTAGCTATCCAGCTTTTTTTGCACCACAAAGATTCTTCCAGTAGAGGCGAAATTCTGATCTTAAGGATAGTGCTTTTGCAAGCCTTGACATTGTTGTTTTGCTGCTGTATTGTTGCTATTTTACTGTTGTATCATTGCTATTTCACTGCTGTTATTCTGCTATTTTTGCTGCTATTCTTCAACTGGTTTTGCTGTTGTTATCCTGCTATTATTCTACTGTTTTGCTGCTATTTTCCATTGTTTTGCTATTGGATTTTCTGCCATTTTCTTTGCTTTTTTACTACTAATTTGTGATTAAATCTCAACAAATGTCAATAATATAAGTTACCATTACTAAAGTAATGAGAGATAAACCCCTACCAAACAACCGCTTACAATATTTAAGACGCCTACACTTAAAAAAGGTTTTGTAACATGAATATTCCGAATGCATCTATAGAATGTGCAATTATATGAAGCGCAGGCCGACCTAGGTACAGTATGTTGGCACGATCGAATATTTGACAACGAGTTTCTCCCGCTTCGTTGAATTAAACACGTGTCAAATACTGATTCGAAGTAAAAGATCTGTAGATTTTGACCAGTCAGCCAAATCAAGCCACGTCATCACGAGATAAACGAATATTAAAATACACAAATTTGCAGAAATTTTTTTATTTCGTCTATAAATTAGGGCTTCGGCTTACTAATTTTAGTTCTTTGTTTTGCAGATCAGGAATTTCGAGGTATATGTTGTTGAATTCTTGAAAAAATTTAACAAATTTAAAGTTTATTAAATTATAAATTATTGAATTATTTGTTTTGTATAATGGACCTGAATGCAGATATTGCTTTGTTGTTGAGCGGTTTTGAAATTGCTTGGATTAGTGAAGTTTCTTTGTATAAGCTAAAGGTATGCAATTAGTCTCTTGTTTTTGATTGCTGATATACTGAAATTGGAATTTTTATGTGTTGCTTTGTGTTTGTTGTTGAGTAATTGTAAATATATGAAAAGGAAAAAAAAAAAAAAAAAAANGGTGTTTTAGGGCTGCTACTTTCCAAATCATTTGCCTGTGGAGCTCATGCATGTTGATACTTTCTTTAGTGATGGGCAGAAAGGAATTCGTATCAGTACAGTGACAGATTACCCCATTAAGACTCTCCTTTTTGAACACACCTGCAATATTAAGATTATGGTGGAGCTTATTTCTGAGATATGTTCTCATTTACAGGAAAAGAACATTCCCCATAATCTTCTAATATCTGATCATGGCAAAAAGATCTTTTTGTTCTTTCAGGTAAATGATCAATTTCTTCAACAAAAGATGTGCAATACTTCAATTAAAAACTTAAAGCATGATTACTTTTTTGGCTTGATTTGAGCTGAGAGGAAGGAAGCAAATTTATAGTTATACTAGTTTCTTGGCATTCGATACAAATTTATGGTTATAAATTTTTTTCTTGGTGATTCTATTTCTTGAATTTGACATGTGATGTCAAAAAGGAGAGGGATGAATATTTGCGAAAAGTGATTTTTGCCTATAATTCACCAGACTATTTTCTATTTTGCACGCTGCTTGATCGTGCATATATATTTAATATTAAAAGGATTTAAATAATTAAATACTTCAAATTAAGTATGTTCATTACAAAGTACTTTTAGCATGGACAAGAACTACAAAATGCATCTTTTTTTATCTCTGACTTGTACATACTATCATTAGCCAAACCATGCTTCCTTATTTTTCATCTAATAAATCATTGTTTAGTTTTCCATTTTCAAATTTTGAATACCGGTACGCAAGGAAACTTGGTTTTGCATTGTATGCATAATATCATATAGTGATTTGTTCTCTTGTATTTGTGTTTAAGCTTTATCCTCTGGAAAAATAATGCCGTGGTTACTGTGATATAGTGGAATTCTGGCCTGCTTTTGGGTTGGAATGCTTAAACTCCTTTTTTTTTTTTAAAAAAAAAAAAATTTATTTTTAAAATATTGTTTTTAATATTCTGATACATTTATGCAAATTGTTGGTAACGGTTTTGTTGTGTGAAGTTTGTATCACGCTAGGGGATTTTTTCTTTTGGTTTCGGGTAATTGGCGATGACTTATTATATACTGTTGCAGAAACAGACAACCTCATCCAACCTTTCAGCTTGGGAATGTGGCGGATATTTCTTGTTCAGGTCAAAGTATGAATTCGATCAAGTAACTGAGGAGGCTATGCTTATACATCTGAGCGCTGTCTCACTTGATGATTCAGGCTTTGAGGCAGTGAAGCAGCTCAGTGGAAACATTGCAAGTAAGCTTGCCATTTGATCTCGAGTCCGTCTCGATGAATTTATGGCACAAAATAGCTGCATAAAAGTCTTTCTGATTTGTGTGAATAGTGAATACATATGTTTGTTAACTATTTCAATTTTTTCTTGTGTTTGGGTAAGATATCTTTGGAAGGATTGAAGTTGTTTAAATGGCGACGTGTTCTTCTAATATATTGCATTTATGTGTGTTAGATGTGGTATAAGTGCTGGAAAATCCAATTTGGATTTTTTCTGGAGCTTTGGCAAAATATTATTTCGCTTCCTGCCTTCGGAATCTATTGTAAGCTTTATTTGTAGATTATGATCGAATAATAATACTATATATACAACATTTTTATACAACATTATGTGGTAAAAGATGATTAGGTGAAAGTTTAATTTTAATCTAAAATCAGTCAATCATATTTTGTCACATAATGTTGTATGAGAAATGTTATATAAATATGTTGTATGTGTAGTATTACTTATGATTGAAAAGACAGTTGATAACATAGGGTGTGTTATGTTATAAATATATAAAAAATGATTAATTTTAATGATTATGTATTCAGGAAATAAAAATGTATAAAGTGCGTTTGGTTGGGGGTTATATGAGATTGATGAGGTAATGTCATCTTATATTATTTTATTATTAAGTTTAGTTTTCAAAAGTAATATAAGATTTGGGTAATGAAAGTATAAGTTGTACAAATGCTTCCATTTTCCAATTCAATTCAATCTATAAGTTTGTGTGGTTATTTTTTTTTTATTATTATTTTTGCTCTCCTGCTGCATATATTTATCATTTATATCGATGATATTCTTCTCTTTTCAAAAGATGAAGAATCTTATATACGTTTTCTTCATGAATTTGCTGATATCATATACTCTTATGGTATTATGCTTTTTGAGAAGAAAATGCTGTTAGGGCAAACAAAGATTGATTTTCTTGGTATGGTGATTGTTGACGGCAAGTATGATCTTCAGCCTCATATTGTTAATGAGTTGCAAAAATTCTTAGATGTTCTCACAACCAAGAAAGAAATACAACAATTCTTGGGAATTGCCAATTACATGCGCAATTTTATTTCTAACATTTCTCGTTTTACTACTCCACTTTCCCAGATGTTTAAGAAGAATCTTCATTCGTGGTCTGAAAAGCAAACAAATGCAGTCAAAAGTCTTAAGCGCACATCATTCCATATACAACCGTTGAAGATTCTTTCTTTTGGGAAACAATTTCTTCAGACGGATGCTAGTGACATTCAGTGGGGTGCAGTGCTTTTTTAACAAGATGATGACAAGGTACGACATTTATGTGGATACTAGAGTGGACAATTCAAACCACATCAGTAACATTATCATTCTACTTTCAAGGAAGTATTAACAGTAAAAAATGCCATTGAAAGGTTTGAATTTCACCTTGTTGGACATCATTTCTTTGTTGAAACGAATATGAAGTCTTTTAATCAAATGCTTCGATTCAACAAGAAAAATGTTCCGCATCAACAAGTACTTCGATGGGCAGAATAGTTCAACAAATATTCCTTCACCGTCTAGCACATTAAAGGTCACACCAACACCATTGCAGATTATCTATCCATACCTAAAACTAAACAAGTCGGTTTCATGAACCCTAGATCCAAACCTCTTCCTTGTTTTATGTTCCAACCATTAACCTAGTCCAGTTCCTGTTCATCATCTTCTTCACCAAACCATACTTCAGACGTACCTCCTGAATTCGATGACTTTGTTCGAACTCGTACCATTGATGAAAATGCTATCACCCTCATGTTTTCTTATCAGATTCAATGCATTGAAAAATGTGGATAATCCATGTATGATATGTTGGGCGTCCATTCGGATTACCCCTTTTAAAAAATCTTTTGTTTACCTCCAAGTCTTGATATCATATTTTTAGAAGAATTATTCTGGTTCTTTTGGTATATGTTACACCAGTACCACATTGCCATTCAATTCCCGGTCCATCATATGTTGAAAATAATTTTCCGATATCAGTCATCCTCAACTTCTGAATTACTCTCTTTGATGACTTTTCTTAGATGGTTTAAAACGCTAGACAAATGGAAATCTGTGTTTGTTCATCAGCTTGCCCGGTACAAATGTCCTATGTCTACCAAAATGGCATGGTCTATTATGTTTTTCCACAGACATCACTCTATCAGATCCAATGATTTATATTTTTCACAGCATCAAGTCACATTTCATCGGTCTTATCCATATGACCTCGTCCATAATATGTTTGACCATCCTGTTGAGACTAGATCAATTCAAAAAATCATTTTTGAAAAAAATCAGATTATTCCAAATGAAATATGGCTATCCTTTCGCGATGATGCTATGTGGGAACTCTTTCCTCCAAACTACACTGAGAAATTACTCCAAGCCAAACAGACATGCACACGTTCTATCACTGCTCAATTCGATGCCAATTTAGATTATCCAGAATGGTGGCACCTAGACTCACAGCCAGATACTGTGTAGGAAGAAGAGCTTCAGCAGTCTCGTAATTACTATCTTCATAAATCCAGGCGACAACAGTACATGCATGCACCAAGTACCTTTACAAGACAAACATCCCAGATTCCAGACATTTCTTCGGATACTCATCCAGATACATCTTCTCGACAAATCCATTCTGACTGTATTCAATCAATGGGTTGTCTCGATTTCCAAGATGAAGACTTGTGGCACGTTACCAACTTGGTAGATGATTAAAGCTCTACGTGTCTTAAAATAAAAAGTTGTCCTTTATGTAAAATAGTGGTGGACTAAATGGCAGTTTGCCAACTCTGTAATATCTTCCGTATGTTTTGTAAAAGTCAAGTATTGTAGGCTAATAATAATAAATAAAAAAAAGTCAAAAAATCAAAAAGTTTAGTCATGTATTAAATGACTCATTTATGAGTCTTGCTTGGGTTGTATATCTCTTATCTATAAATAAAGCCTTTTACCTTCTCGTGGAGGAGGATGAACTTTGTAAAACTCTTGTATATTTCTCTTGCTCAAGAATCTCTCACTTCTCCATTGCATATTTTCTTTACACATCGTTACCATAGTTCTTCCATGTTTCTTTAATCTTTCTAAATTTTCTCTCAACCTCAAGGGTGTCGTAATATTCTGATAATATTAAGGATAGCAAAAGATCTCATATATGTCTTTAATTTATGTTCTTTGACATATTTAATAAATATGTTTTTCATTTATGTTTTTGTTCTTTGTTTATGTTCTTGGTGTGTTTAATTTTCACTAGCCTTTTTAGATGATGTTAGAAGCTATGTGGGTGTACGTGTGTGTGGGATAAAAGGAGGGCCTTGACCATGACTTCGACCGATCGTTGTGTTGATTGGTTTCGCTTAGGTCAGCTATCATAGTTTCCCACATGCATAAACTCCACGATCTTCTGACAACATCTCTAAGGTCTAGTAATCCGTATGTGTTGATTGGTTTCGCTTAAGTCGACTATCATAGTTTCCCACATGCATAAACCTCACGATCTTCTAACAACATCTCTAAGCATTGTTTTAAAAGCCGGACTGGAGGGCAACCCACTCAGCTTCCTGAGTCACGGTTCAATCGGTCCAACCATCATGATGACGTCAACACAAATCATGATGACGTCAACACATTTTAAAAAAACTTGTTAATGCCTCTTCTTGGACGAGTTTCGCAACTCGAAGCTCACTGTAAATTATGATAAATAAAATATAAGGCGTGATACAACATTGAAATCATTGAAGAATGATGTTCAAGTTTCTGTATCATGAGAGTGAGTTAACCCTATTCATAGAGATTAGAGATGTTTGATTCTTAGGTGAAAGACCATAGTAACATTACATGTAAACTTTCTTCATTCTAAATTTGTGTGGATTAATCTCATAAAAAAGTAAATAATAAAAGAATGGATGAGATGGTTGCTTATCCAACTTCACTAAGATATTAGTACTGAACTATTAAATCAAACCTGTGGAGTGTTTTCTATCATTATACCTAGCAAGTTTGGCAGATCACTAAATTTTAATTTTATGAAGGCGTCAACCATTGTGAATGACCCCTAAATGAATGAATCAAGCATGAAGCAAATAATTAAAAAAAGAAACGACGTCGAAGCGAGTCATATCATAGCATTTGGATTTGATTTGGAAAGGAGTCTTTTGGAGGGGAGTCCTATGCATGTGCTGACATAGAATCAGAGAGAGAGAGAGAGAGAGATACATAGAAACAGATAGAGAAGCGATCAAGCAAATCAGAGTATGGATACGACTAAAGAAGAAGAGAAAGTAGACGATGATCAGCGGCAACAACAACAACAACAAAAATCTGTTGTTAAAAAAATTCCAAAGGCAAAATTTTGTAAGGGATATCTCTATTACAATTCCGTTATCAAATCCCATCATCACAACAATCGTTGCATCGACATCCCTCGTACTCTCCCTCAAGGTTACTAATTTCTTTTTCACGTTTCAACTTCCATTCTCCTTGCTTTCTTTTAACGTTTTCCAATTTGCTGCTAATATGTTTTTTACCTGGATCGTTGATGAGGAGGGATGGAGCTGTCGTCGTTGATTTTCGGCGAGGAAGGAAGGCTTCGTCTCGATTTCAGAGACTGGAGTTGCGATCGATTTCAGCAACGAATGGGTGCGATTTCAGCAAAGAATGGTTGCGATATCAACAAGATTGAGTTTTGATTTGTGTGGGATTTCAGATTTTCTCGATTTCATTCAAATTTTTTCAGAGAATTTTGCACGTAGAGAAAGAAGAAACTGCAAAATGGGAGAAAGTGAGAAATTAGGGATTTTTTTCTTCCCTTTTTAGTGTTAGGCCAGTTTTTCTTGTGGTCCTGTTGGACCGGCAGTTTTGCACTGTTCACGCGGTCCATTGCCGGGTTAAAATGGGTTATTGCGCAATACCGGGTTTTATATTGACTCGAACCGGACACGTGACCGATTCATGGTCCAACCGGTTGGACCGGTCGGTCCGATCCGGTCCGGCTTTTAAAACAATGTCTCTAAG